AAAGAAGTCAGTACAGGAAGGAAGGATTTCTAAGATGCACAGACTAACCCTGCTGGCCACAACTTCCAGGAAATGACGGTATGGCTTATTTTCTGCACCAGTGTCATCTAAGACAGAGGCTTAGGGGACATCTCTGCAGTTTGAACACCACACACACAGACACACACGCGCATGCACACACTAACCCCACACACACGCACGCACACACGCACGTGCGTGCACACACACTGACACACACACATGCGTGCACACACACGCACATACACACACACACACACACGCATGCACACACATGCGCACAGAGCACGCCACTGCAACAGATCTTCACTATATAATGGTCAGGGGGTTTCTGCTGATGGAACATGAAACTTTGAAAATTACTTGAAACACCAAATTACACTCAGGACGCTGAGGGGCGGATACCCTATGTTCTCTTTAATGTGTATGTTCTATTGCATAGATATATTTTTTTTAACCAAGTATGTCTTTATTTTAATAACAGGCCAAGGGCTAAAAGCACTTTAGGGAAGAGCTATTTCTCTACCTCAGCAGAACTACAGAGGCCACGTTAGACGGCGAGGTGACCCCGGAGCCTAAGTTCACGCTCTTCTTGAAAGACCTTAAACCTTTAAAATAGTAATAGCGGGGTAGCTAGGCTAGGCAAGGGAAGCCTTTCTTGAGGCTCGGAGTCCTCCCTCTGAACATATGCTCCAACTGCCAGGGTACCTTATGGCATTCGTCCTTGGAAACAGAGCTCTCTCTCTCTCTCTCTCTCTCTCTTTCTCTCCCCCCCCCCCGTGTCCCGGTGTTGACAATTTCTATTTCTAAGTATCTTATACATCTCAATATTATATAAATATCTCTGCTCTTTCCCATCGGCCCGTCTCTCAAGAGAGCAAGATGACTGCTCCTCTCCAGCTGATGGCGAGTCTACACCTGACCTGGTGCACGTGTCCTGGACTCTCCGTTGCAAAGGCAAGGCTGCCCGTGTAGACGGTTGAGCCAAATGTTGCCTTGGGAGATGATGCCCGGCTCCCAATGAGGTCCTGCCTAGCAATCTCTGTGCCTGCTCCAATGCATCAAGTGTGCACTGTATAACAACGCATTCCCCTCGCCTTGCAACAAGGCGGCTATGTGCTTGAGCAGGCCTGGAAGAGAGGCCAGCATCCACGTCAGGCAGGTTTGCTGTATCAGGTGACCCCAGCCGGCAGTCTTCCAATAAAATCCAGTTATTTTTTTTAAGTAAAATGTTCTTCAAAAATAAATTTTTTCCCAGAAGGAGCAGATATTTCAATAAGAAATTCCCAATGTTTAAATCCCACCCATCCCCCCCAAAAAATCTAGGACACTTAAGACCCCCTTTTTAAAAAAAAACATTAAAAAAAATCATAGGAAAAAGAAAAATACCAAAAAGATTTCTGGTGTTTAATGCCTCCCATCAGCAAATACACCATCTGGTATAGCCAAGTGCTGTTCATTCAGCTTAAATAAAGCTGTCTGGAAGTTCTTCTTGAAGCCAAACCCCAAAAAGTGAAAATGTTCCTGCTAACAATGAGCTGGGCACCGGCCTGGAAAAGGCCAGAGGCCTGGCCTCCTCTGCAACCTTCCCTGGGTCCCACTTTCATTTTTGGGTTGTAGGTTCCCCACAGCAGAACTGTTTTCGGGGTCATCTGGTCCTCCGTTAATTCGTCTTTAATCCTCTCCTTCTTTTCTGAGTCTTCAAATAGACCTATAAGTTTTAATCAACAATTGCGCAAATATAAATGTCCCCACCATTCATCATCCTTTCCCCCCATCCTTATGGAGTGAATTACTAGCTGAGAGGGAACGCCAGTTCTAGTAAGTGAATGTCACCCAGCAGGAATATAAAGCTGTCAACACCACAGGGCTCTTGCCTGTCTAAACTCTCTCTCTCAGCCTTCATATGTTTTTTAAAGAGATATTAGCCTTTTTTTTTTCTTCCCCCTGAGGACCTTCGACAAAAGCCGACTGTCAGATACAGCTGGGCACTTGCATCTATACACATGCCTTGAAAAACACAACATCAACAAGCAGCAGAAATATGCTAGGGGAGATGGAGAAGACAAAGCAAAAACCGGTGTAGTCGTTGATGGGCGTCTATGGCTGGCCACATTGTAAACAAGGATCTGGGTCAGCCTAAGTTTCCTCTCAGAAGACAACTCGGGAGACTTGGAAGGAACACACACCACTGCCACCGGCTCAAACCTACGAGACCGTTCAGTTCCCACCTTTTTATGAATTATCTAAGTCTCGCCAAAAATCCTATCAAGCTCCCTCTCCTTAAGAAGGAGAACAGCAACAGAATTGTCTCTTGCAGCCAGCGAAAAGCATGTCTCTCTCCCTGCTCATCAAAACCGGTGGGATAAATTGCTGTTTTACAGAGCAACCAATAAACATAATGATTTCCCTCATTGCTATGAGAACGATTTTCAGGAAGAACTCAAGAAAAACGGGCATGCACCCCCAAGGACTGAGCTCTGAGAGCGTTATGTCCATTCTCCTGGCGTGGAAAGAGTGCAACAGACCCCAAAATGATAATAAATGACTCAGCTATAAGTATTTTTGTGGTTATCTGTGTTTGCTTTATGAGGAAAATTCAACAAAAGAGGTAGAATGGTGGAAATACGATCTATTTTATATTTATCCTACGTTAAAAGAGAAAAGTTTCAATTAGGGAATATTTCTAACTAGAAATATAATTTGAACATCTCTTAAATTCAGGATGCACATTTGTAGAAGTCTTGACTTTCAGCCAGCCTATCACGTAGATTACGTGATATCTACATGGTTAGAGGTTATACAGATAAAACCGACAACATCTTAGAATACCTGTGGAAACTCTGTCAGCTGGACCTCACAAAATCATTATTAATGCTCAGTCAAAACCTTCTCACTCCAAAATTTCATATTCCAAGTTGTGATATTTTGAATCTCTAAATTAGTTTATTTCCAAAGAATCTATATTGCCATAGAGAACTGAGCTTTAAGAGCATATTTAAAAGTCCACCGTACACAAAGACACCATATACACGCTTACTATTAAGTACTGCAAACAGTGTTTATTGCAGTAAATGTCATCTCACTTCCAGCTTGAGAGACCTCTAATAGGATCCTCACTGTTTCTAAATAAAATGGAGCCTCCAAGATGGTGACCGGAGATGTCGATTGAAATAAATCTACTATTCTTCATAAAGGCAGTAAATTTTAGTGTCTATCAAATTTAGAGCCTGTAGACAAATTCAAGTATAATTTCAGAAAATTTGCAAAAAGGACTACCATTCCACACTAAAGGTGCCCTGGTCAGCAGACAGAAGCAGTTCCTCTCACAGTGTCCAATAGGACACGAAGAAAACATCGCAGAAGGGCAGCACAATTTCTAACAGTTTACATTCCAAACTGTGGAGGGACCTCATAGAGCTCAGAGTGGGCAGTGAAGTAACAGAGACAGAAATGTTAGGTCTAAGATTTTTCTTACATAAAAAGTGACTTTCAGAATACACTTTCTCCAAGGATTTCCAAAGCTGTTTTCACCAGACATTAGCAGCACATACAGCAGCCCAAGCTTGGTTCCTACCATATCTGTGATGTGCACATAGGTACATATACATCCAGCAAGGCTAAAGTCATTGCTCCAGTCTTAGGACAGGCACTCAGAAACCCCACGTTGAAAAGTGGTGTCTCTCTCTCTCTCTCTCTCTCTCTCTTCCTTCCCTTCTTCCTTTTTTTTTGTCAAACTGAAAGCATATTTTCATATCTCTAGATAGACTATACAGAAACCAAATCATGTTGTCAAAACTTTAAAAATTGAGAGGAAGACTCCTTCTCAAGAGAAATGGCCCATTCAAAGATTTAAGGCGAGCCATCCTTAACGTCTACCACAAAGAAAAATAGTAAATAATTAAAAACAGACAAGTGTCATCTTATTAGGTGCATGGAGATGTTTCAAGCTAAGTGTCTACTCCAAAATTCTATGTACACCGCAGACACAGGGGTGGGACCTTATCACCAAACTTTACCATAAAGTTGTATCATTTTATGCTGGTCAACATAAAGAATTACATTAAACATGTTGCTGCTGAAAATGTCTAGGGTGAAGGGGAATCTCGGGCATGATAAAATTAAAGGAATGATTTATCCCAAACAAAAAAGTCTGAATGGCATGTAAAATTGTACATTTCCTATTTAACAGACAGCTAGTGGACAGGCCTGCAACCCAGAAAATAGTTCAGTGCTCAAATCTTTCTCTGATCTAGTTTTCTGAGATTCCTCACTAACCAGTTTTAAATAAAGTATTTGCAGAAGTAATGAAAACATCAAAAGATTATCTTTAAGTAATATTTAAATCTTGGGTAGGGAAGCAGCAGGCAGCAAATGAAGCTGCTTGCTATTTTTCGACCAATTCTCTAAATCCTAACAAAGTTAAAAAAAAAAACCGCCCGTGTCTCAACTCTGCAGGCAACTTTAGCATCAAATCCGCTAAGAAGAACATAATGGATTCACGGTGATTCTTCCTTTTTCATAGAACTTATTCGTCCCTCAGCCCTGTCCTGGCTACAGGAAAAAAACAAACAAACAAACAAACAAAAAAAACATTGCCCCTGTTCTAGCCTGATCCTCCCTCTCTGCCCCACTAAAATCAAGGCTTAGAAGCTCCAGCCCTAGAACCTTTCCTAGGCAAGGCAAAGGAGTTAAACACGCAAGAGCTCTCTAGGAAAATCTAGAAACAGTTAGCTGGCTGTGACACAGACCTGCCAACACCTCGGCACACGGTGGCAAAGTGCCCAAAAAATGCCACCCTCTGGGTAAACCACTTTCTTCTTATAACTCGAGATGAAGCTACTACCAGTTGCAAGACAGGCAAGCAGGGCATTATTTGGCAACCTGGATTTGACTTCCTGTAATCCTACACTGAAAGAGCGCCTAATCAACCTGAACCCTGACACCCAGGCCATTATCACTGGGCCTCCGGCTGCGCGCACCTCCCAGCTCCGGGCTGTTACCTCCCACGGCCTTGGCCACGGCGCCGTTGGGCCTCCCGCGGGCTCCCATGGGGCTGCCGTTCTGCTCCAGCCGGGCCACCTTCACCGGGGGAGGCCCCTTGACGTCGGGGCTGCCGCTCCTTCGGTCGGGGCTGTCCCGCAGACACGGGCTCTCGCTCCGCCGCTCCATGCTGCTCCGATTTGGAGACAAAGTTCCCACCGGCAGGTCGCAATAAAACGCGCTGGGACCTAGGGAGGGGGCGGAGGGGAGGGAAGGGGGAGGGAAAAAAAAAGAGGGAAAACCGCTCACACACGTGATAGACGATCAGGCCAGTGGCAGAGCGCTACACCGCAGCCACACAAACTTCCTCCCACGCTTCATAAGGGTCCCAAAGGGTCCCAGGATAGCGGGTCCCAACCTTAACACTGGAGGCCCCAAAGCTGCCCAGGACTTGAGGTACTGAGACCTCAGGTCCCAAGAGTTAGTCCTCGGTGTCGTGGACAGAGTCGAAGGAGCTCACAGCACTTAGCAATGCTCCCCCATTCATAGCGGGCAGCGCCTCGTTAGCCCTTCTCTGATGGAGAGCCCCCACCCCACCCCCGCCCTCTCCACAGGGTGGGGGTCGGGGTTTCGAAATGAGAGTACTTCAGAGCAAGAGGTCCCCACCCGACCTGGGAGGGAGCCAGGACAGACACGGATCCTTAAGCAAATTAATTGCTTGATAAATGTGCTATGAAAGGCCAGGCAGGAGCCAAAGACTTGATCAACGGATCCATGGAATCCCCGCTTTTTACCTTTTGGATCAAGTACACGAGTACACTCGTGTACACACACGTACACACACACACACACACACACACCTTTGCACAAAAAAAATTAACTATAATCCACGGGAACGAGCATCCCAAACACTTCGAGGTTTTTGGAGGCTCTCCTCCATCGCAAGATTACAATTATTATTATTACGGAGCATTCTTATCTTCATCTGTTCCCGAGTGCTTTTGTAAAAAGCAAATAAGCATAAAACATAAAAAAAAAGAAATTTAGAATCTTGGGTGCAGGAGCAGCCCTCATTAACCCCAATTTCTAAATCTGGGAAGTTTTCCTCGGGGTCCTTAAGCAAGCAGGCAACGCTACACGCAGTTCCCCCGCACTCCTGAATTTTGGAGGAGTGACCCGGAAGAAGGGAAAAACACCTGATGAACCGGCGCCCGAAATGTCACTGACACCCGCGAGAGGAACCCCCGAATACACCTGGGGCGCTCGGAAGCCTCCAGGGAGCTTTGAACGCGGGAGAAGCCTAGCCGCCTCGGGTGGAAGAGACGAGGTGGGGGGTGACCGAGTGGGGAAAGGAAGGAGGCGAGAGAGGTAGGGAGTGCGCGGAGGGGTAGCGAGAGAGGCTTCCACCGCAGCTCCCAGCTTCGCCTGGGAGCGTGAGAGCCAGAGCCGGAGCCTGGGGACAACCGGGGACAGCCGGGGAAGGGAGCGCGCCCCAGGCTTCCCGAACTCCGAGCCGCGCGGGAGCCCTCGCCCAGCGTACTTACTGCTCACGGTCTGTCTGAAACTTGGCTGGCTGGGGCTCTGTCCATGGAGCAAAAGTAGAGAATCCAGGGTGGAAAGTTTCTGGTGATCTGTAGGATTGTCCTAGTCTTCCTTTCTCTTTTCCTCCTTCCCCTTTCCTTTTCCTCTTCCCCGGGTCCTAGCGTTTAAGGTCCTGGGTCAGGGTGTCTTCTGTTCGGAGATGGTTGTTATGATGATGGGGGGTGGGGGGGGGGATGAAGGAGGAGGAGGAGAGGGGAAGGAGGACTCCTCCTAAGGGGCACCCGAGCGAGCGGGGGAGGGGACGGCGGGGGAGGGGGGGAGAGAGGGGGCTGAATGAGCCTTTCACACCTTCGGGAAGGAGACCGGTTCTGGAGAGAAAGGGCTGAGGACTGGGAGGCTGCCGCGGGCTTGCCGGCTCCTACCCGCCGCTAGCTCCAGAGGAGGCGCGGCCGGAGCCGCGGTGACCGTGCCACCAAGAGCGGAGGAGGCGCGGAGACCCCGGACCGCGCTCCAGAGAAAACGCCGCGGCCGCCCAAGCTGTCACCTCCAACCTCTCCCCTCGCGGCCGCCTCTGCCAGAAGCCAGAGCCGGACTCACTGACAAGCCGCAGAGAGAGACACACTGAGAGGGAGATGATTATTAGTTGCGTTGAGTCATCAGGCAAAGTGAGTCCTTTTGGGTTGTCCTCGGTTTCCGATTTCTCCCCCTCCCCCTTTCGGTCCCCAGATCTAGCGCCTTCAAAATAATAATTTGGGGTGGGGGTAGGGGAAGTCTCTGGGTTATTTCGGGATGGGAATGGGGGGGACGGATCTAAACCCAAGCCAGACTGGTCCACCGCAATGAAGGAGGGGAGTGGGGGGCGGGGAGGAGGGCTGGGGAGGTTGCGGGGGGAGGGGGGCCCCGCCTGGCAGGAAATTAAACATCAATCAATCAATCGCTGTGAGCGCGGCGACCCAACGAGCCGGGCTGCGGAGGAGGCATAGGGATAGGCAAGGGGGTGGGAGGCAGGGAGAAAGGAGGAGGAAGGGGAGAGTCGGCGGTGGGAGCGGGGTGGCAAGGACCTCCTGCACCGGGCGACGAAGGACGGATGGCTGAGGACTGAGTGCGGCGCGAGGCGGTGGCCACGGCCGGCGGATGGGTGCGTCCGGGCGCTGACGAACGCCAGGGCCCAGGGTCTGGTCCTCCTCCTTGTGGCAAGTCCAGGGAGCAGCCGCCTCGCCCAGCCCCGAGGCGCACTCGTCCCGGCGCGCAGGCTGCGACGACTAGGCGGGCGCTCGGTGTCGCGGCTCGCCGCAGAGGCGCAGACTGGCGCGCGGGAGGCGGCGGCGGCGGCGGCAGCCTCGTCTCCGGGGCTCTGCTAACTGCGCCGCCGAGTACTTTCGACTTTGGAGAGATAGGAGGGCGACCGCCTCCCCCACCCACCGCCTCCGCCCACCACCCACCGCCTCCGCCCCTCGGAGCAACTTTTCTCGGTGCGGGCGAGGTCCCCATCAGCTCCGTGCCTACCGGCCCGGCCCGCTGCGCTCCCGGCCGCGCGTGGGGAAGGCCGCTTGTCCCTCTCGGGTCGGGCGCCGCCGCGGGTCCGAAACAATAGCCCGGGTGTCCCGAACGCCCGGAGCGAGCCACCGCCCGCCGGGCCGTGGGTGGCACCGGAGAGAGGGTCGCTTTCTCGCTCGCTCGCTCCCACGCACGCTCGCTCGGTGGGCGCAGGGCGGGACGCATCCCTGCCACTCTCGCCACGCGGGCGACGTTGCTTGCGAGCAGCACAGCTTGGGCCGCCCGGGAGGCCGGGGACGCGGTGCCCGGCGAGGGCTGCGAACCCTCGGGTTGCGGCATTGGGGTCTTGCAAAGACCACTGAATGCGGGAGCGAGCGGAGCCGAGCCGCGGGGACCCAGCCCGTCCACCCCACGAGCGAGGCCACGCCGACGCGCCCCTAGCCGGTTCCTCAGGGGTTGAGGAGGCTGCAAACTTTTGCCGACTCCCGCGGCCCCGGCCTCCCTGCTCCCGCCGCGGGGTTCCTTTAAGGTGGCGCGAGCACAGTCCGCCTGGACCCGGCTCGCGGCCGCGCTTTTGTCTCGGCCGCCCGGCTGGGGCGCGGACCTCCTTAAGAATAAGCACGTGGGCAGGGGCCGCGGCCCCGGCTTGGTGCCCGCAGCGTCGGGGCGCCCGTCAGCCGCGGGGACCTCCGGGGAAGGAAATAGCAGTCGGTCCTCTCCGGCCGTGGGGCTCCGAGAGCCCCGGGAAGCGGCGGCGCCTCCCGGCCATGCTGGGCACCGGGCTCCCTCCCGTTTCCCCAGGACCCCAAGGACTCCGCTACCACGGGTTGCCAGAGCCACTAGTCCCCCTTAAGAAGCGTCGGCTGTACGGCGGCGCCAGAGGGCCAAACTAAATTCGGTTTCGGGAAACGCGCTCGGGGCGAACCTCGAAATCCCGGCCTTGAGAAGGGCCGGTGGAGGTGGCTTCTGCGGGTCGAGCTGGAGCCCTAGGCGGCCGTCCAGTCGCTCTGTCACCTCCCTCCCCCCACCCCTAACACCCCCAAAGCCCCAAGGGCCCCAGGCTCACTGCCAGCGAGGACTGAGGGCTTCTAAAAGCCGAAGGGTCCCCAAAACGAAACCTGTCCCTGGCCTAGATCTGGGTGCCCAGAACTCGGCGAGCCCTACTCCGAGGAGCGGCCCACCAACTTCAGCAGAAGCCCCAGGCGACTGGGGAGCTGAGCCAAGCAGAGAGAGGCCAGCAGGGCAGCAATACTCCGCGGAGCCACCGCAGTTTTAGGAAGGCTTATTCTTCGCCCTGTTTTTTTCTCCCCCCCCCCCCAAATTCCGAGCCCCAACAACCAGCCCAGCTGAAGGGGCTAGAGAAAACTCGAAGCCCGTCAAAGCAAAATAGGTCGAGTAAATCAGCCCCATGAAGGTAGCTAAAGGAGTTTTGGAAGCAAAGAAAGAAAGAAACTGTAAGTTTGATCGACAAGCTTAAAAAAAAAATAAAAATCTGTAATAGCATATCTAAATGAGAAAGGGGAGTTTCAAAAAGTTAATTATCACTGTCAAACTTAGCCCGTTTTTAAGATGAGGATTGCGTATATCTTATTTATATATTAACAACGATAAGTTCCCCCATTTCCTTTCTTACCTTGATGTTAGAACTGCAGAATCCACCTCCAGCCCAATGACCGCGAAATAAGAAGAATTGATGATATTAGGACTTCAGTACTCCTGGAAAAAAATGCAAACCGTTTAGTGGGGATCTTTTTTGTCTGATTCGTCAGTATTATTATATCTGATGATGCGAATGGTTGGAACGGTTCTACCCCAAGTCATTAATGAGCTATTTTATAAAAACCACAGTCGGAAAAATCTTCCTTTGCGTTTTCCTAAGGATCGCTTCGCTAACCTCCCAGGCTCCTGTCAACAGCGTGATTAAGGACTTCGGCTACTACACACTCTTATATGGCAGTATTGTTAATCAGTTAATATTTTATAAAGAGTAAATATTTTATTATTCTTTGAAGGGAACTATTGATTCTAAATTATTAAAAACCCCCTAGAAAGTCTACTTAAACTATACAATTAAGTACAATTAAATGTGCATTGTGGCTTAGGTTCACCACCCTTTCAAACTCATCATTTCTCTTGTCTATTTTTGATAATGAAAAGAAGATCTGCCATTTGGAACAAAAAAATGTCTAAGTTATTTAGAATTACATTTCAAAAAATAAACAAGTTACATTTAAAATACATAAAAACGTCCAATTCGATGTCATTACCAAAACTGAACTTTGGATGTTGGCAGACTTATTTTTAGTAGAGCATTTTTCAATTTTCAAATTTCATTTTTCAAATTTCGCAAAAGGAGAATTCTGGAAAGTTTTGCCAAGTGTGCCCAGTGTGAAGTTTCCCTTTAGTTTTGTCCCTAATAAAGGCCTTTTCTGTTTCAAGTTACACATGCTTTGCCCAGCCCAGCTTTGTTACTAACCCCATTTCAACTAATTATTTCAAACACTTCTAATTTCTACAATAAGATAGATTTTAAAGAACTCTTTGAAACCTTTTGTTACGATTTTCATTTTCAAAACTAAATAAATATGTTTGATGATGTTTAAAAAAAACGGTTTGGTTTCATTTTGTATTCCCCATGACGGTTTTGGCTCCAAACATTTTTTGAAACAAATCACCCTTTTTAAAAATGGTATAAGTGCATTCGTCTTTTTAAATTAATAATCCAAAACTCCCGCTCGCTCCCCTACTCACACACCCGATTAGGAAACTGTCCCCCTCCCCCCCCCAGAATGCGAAGTTGGGGGTGGGATATGTTTCTTTGGTTTGCTTCCGACCTACATTTTTTGAGGGGGATCCACAGAGACTTTTCTAGGGTGCTTCTAGCCCTAATTTTTCCCCTTATGTAGCCAAAGGTCTCCTCTTTCACAACCTCTCCGTTGTTTTTATTTATCTATTTCTCTCAAGCAACAACAACAACAAAAAAGCAATGGGACTTCCTAGGCTCCGATTTAAGGCTCATAGTTTTTCTTTCGCGGCTGTTTTTCTTTCTTCCCAGGCCTAAGTCCTCTTAAGGCCTGCACTTTTAATGACGGTGTTGCTTGGTTCCTCTGAGGTTTTGGCTTGCCAGGCGTTCAGCCCAGGTCAACCTTCGGTGGTATTCTGGCTGTGGGCCACCTAGGCCCGACTGCCCTGGTAGGACGTAGAGTGCCAAGCTCTCTGCACTTCTGCTTTCAGGCTTCGGGCCCTAAAGGTCCGGCATTCCCTTGGCCTCTCTGGTTCTCAAGTTTGGTCACCCAGGCAAAGAAGCCTTTCCAGAGGCAGGCTACCTCTTCCAGAGCACTGAAAGTTTGGTCTGATTTTTTTTCTTTCCACTCTAGGACACGCATTTAAACCTTCCTGGAAATGGCCACCTTAAGAAAGCCTTAGCTGGCGGGCCACGGCTTCTAGGAACCAAAAACAGGCCAAATGTTTCTCTAGTAGAGATGGGGTTTGGCGGGGGATCATTCATTTCTTTCTAAGGATGCCCATGTCATGTCTGAAGACAATTTCCGTTTCGGTCTGTCCGTGGAGAGTTAGGAGACCACTGCGTTTAGATGTCAAATCCAGAGAGTCAAGTGGACAAGGGATCGAAGGCCCCGGGGTGCCGGGGAACCAGGATGAGCCCCGGAAAGAAGGCCAAGTCCACTAAGGGTGCCTTAAGCCCTTTCTCAGACTACCCTGGGGACTGCCCGGAGTGCAGGGCCAGGGAACACTTACTTCGTTATCACCCGGCTTCCTCCTTGGCATCAGAGATCAACCCGCGCCAGGCAAAGATTAAAAAGGACTCTCTAGGGGCCTAGGAGTGGGCGGTGCGGTGGGATTCTTCCAAGGACCTCAGAGGGACGCGCCACTGAGGCCTGGTCCGGAGGTGAGACCGGCCGGAGGATGCCCCGTCTTGGGAAAGGGTGGTGGGACACTAGTCCTGGGAGCCAAGCTGCCAAAGTGTCTGGGAATTGGAGTTCAGGGTAACCCACTGCACCAAAGCGCAAAGGGACAGAGTCTCCGGGGTGGCTCGGCGAACTGTGGCTGGGAATCTCTTTGGCTTCCTGACACCTGAGGTCCTAGGAGACAGAGCTGAGCGTCTGTTGTGGGCTCTGCTTCCTAGAAGGTGGAAGGGTTTAGAGCTAGGAGAGTTCTTGGGCGAAGGTTTGATGTCAGGTTCGTGGTCACCGGATGGGTGGGAAGAGTCCTGGAAAGGCTGCAGCCACCTCTGGACGCTTTCCCTCCACGCCAGGGCTCCCAGGATCCGACGTTCTTTTTCAGTGTCTTAAAGGGTGGTTTTCCTTCCGCAGCGGCGCAACGAGCATACGACCGCCCCGCTAACGTAACCTCAGTGTAGAACTCTACCATAAATGATGAAAATTAACAAAGCAGGAGGAGGGAGAAAAGGCCAAAGGAACCGCCGCGGCCACTCGTCCCCGTCTTGGGGCTACGCGCGGACTGCGCTATTTTCCTTGGGGAAACACCAACGGAGGCCGAGGAATCCCGTCCCAAAGCGGAGAACTAGAGGCCAAGGCTGGTTGTCAAGGGTCCCTCCACCTCCAAGACCGGGTCACAGCCAGGGGTCCCCGCCCCGAGTGAAGGCGACGGCTCCCTACAGCGCCACCGCGTGGGCTGCGCAGCGCCGAGAATCCTCAGGTTAAAGAGGCGCGGAGCGGGTGCGGTCCCCGGGCTGGGGAACCATCAGACCACCCAACACCAAGATGCGACCGGCAAGCCAAACCTCCCTGCCTGCAGTTGCCCCCAACCTCTGGTAATGAAAACTACACCCAAATATAAAACCTCAAGGCATATCATTAAACCTTCCTTCCTTCCTATCTCCTGGCCGACCGACCAGCGCTATCCTTGGCCCAGGGCTGGAGAGCACAGGCCTTTGGATGCCAGACGATCCAGGACAGCGCAGTCGCCGGGGCACACTGGTACTCGGGCCCGATCTAAGCTTGAGGCGCCCAGAAAAGCAGAGACAGCTAGCAGGCAGCGTCCAGGGCTCTTATTGGAACCACGGATAAGCCGCGCAGTAGGTGTATCCTGTTAGGGGACCTGGAGAGCGTCCATGGTTAGGGCTTTCGCTTTCCCCAGGGTTGCACGATGTCCCCCAGACACCCACTTAGCCCTTTAAGGCTTGATTTCCGGACTAAAGTCCTGGCTGAGACTCCACCGTCCTCCCCGGGACTCAGTCCTCTTCACTTTCCCTCCTGTGGTGAGAAGGGCAAGCCCGGCAGAGGTGGCCATCAGGTCACCTGGCACCTTTCTGAAGTTACAACAAGACGTGAGAGCCTCCATGAATTGCTTAGAGGACTTTGCTAGGAAGAGGTATTTTGTGGTTGCTGTTGTCTTCATAAATTCAATTCCCTACCCACCCCTACCCACCCGCTCAGTTACACACGTACACAAACACACACAGACGGTGGAACTGGCTATTCTGGCAATAGCTCACCCAGAAAGATGTAAATCCACCTAGAGCCCACCTCAATTATAACAGGAGCCTGCCCTGGACCCCGGAACCGGCGGGTGCCATGCCGGGCCAGATCCGGGTCTTTGGGACCAGTGGTGACCAGCGCCACCCAAGAGATAAGACCATTGCAGTCGGGAGGGTTGAATTGAGGCTCTCCGTGACCACTTGGCCTGCTTTCCCACAGCCTCCACAGCGGTGGTGACTGATTCGTTTCTGAAGCCTGGTACCCATGACCATCCGGCCTTGCCAAGCCTGGCACCCCTAGTCAAGTGGCTCACCTCAGCAATCTGCGCTTGCTTTCGCCCCTCCGGCCCCGTCCCTAGTGGGAAGTGGTAGGGTCAGCGCGGCGCCGAAGTAGGCTGCTCACCTCCAGGAGCCAAGGAAGGTGCCCTAGGAGCCGCAGGTCCAGCCCCGGGCTGATTTAAATAACTAATAACCTCGGAGAAATTTTACGAGGGGGAACTTTTCCTGTTAGTATCAATAAAGCTTAGTAATTGGGCTTGTTGGTTACCTAAGCTCTTCTCTCTCTCTCTCTCTCTCTCTCTCTCTCTCTCTCTCTCTCTCTCTCTCTCTCCTCCCCGTTTTCAAAAAAAAACGGGCGACTACGTTTGGTGTTAGTGGCTGTGAGTGTGGAAAAGTTGTTTGTTTTCAAAGTCCTCTGCATACAGAATAAACAGGATCGCGCTCGGCAGCGGAGCATTTTAAAAGGTGGACGGTTCTTGTTTAGGAAGAGAAAAATAGAAGAGAGGGAAGGGTCTTAAAGACTTTTCCATTTTATGTGATGGGGGGGGCTGCACGCTTTCCCTTTTAACTAATTTTAACTGCATTCGGACTCTTAGGTTTTAGTGAGAACTTGGTTTTAGCCGAAATTCTATACCATTCCACAATTTAAATTTTTATTTTTACTTCTATTTTACGCATGTTTTCTCAAAAGTAGATATTTTCCATCTGTGAATTGAACCTTGATTTTTTTTAAAGTAGAGAAGATTTTTTTTTCTCCATATACAAGAATTGCTTTTAGCCAGTTAAATAGTGTCTTTGGGGTTGTATCCACCTATACAAAAATCTTGGAAACTAAACACAATCTAAGAACGGTTTTCACCTAGCATGTGGGTCTTGTTTGTTTTGTTTTTCTTCTTTTTCACGTGGAGGTTAAAAACGGATTTTTTTAAAAAAAAAAAAACTTAGAAATGTGTTGTGCTATAATTTACCTGAAGTTAAATTCTCCCTCAAGGACAGCAATAGTTACTGTCTACAGACGCCAGCCTAAGGAAATGAAGAGCCGTTTGGGCTTCGCGATATTACTGGGCTCCGCGATATTACTGGGCTCCGCGATATTACTGGGCTCCGATACCAAAGAAGACAGAGAAAAGAAGTATTGTACAAGTTTTCCAGGGACAATGGGCTCACTCCTGAAGTTACCAGAAGCATACCCAAACCTGTGCAAACGTATCTCCTGTATTTTCACTGTACTGGGGAAATTTTTCTTTTCCGCGGTTAGCTAGGAAATTGACAGACTTTCTTGTTCCAGTGGTTTTAGGCTGGGAGACCTGAAGTCTGTGGAGGGTTGTCCAGGCCAGGTAACTTATGGAGGGCTTGAGGTTATTCCGAGATAGACCCATCCCTTTTCAAGGTCCTGGCGGAAAAGGCACCCCGCTGACCTTGGCAGATTCTACCCTCCTTATCCCAAAGGCCAGCAACACCAACACGGGGTCCTAGGCCCTTCTCACCCTTTTGAAGATTCCCCCAGCCACTGATGCTCAGCTCCAGCCAACACCAGTGTACCCTGAAGCTCTAGTGACCAAGCACCTCTTCTCCTGGCTCTCAAAGAGGGTTACTGGCAAACACCTTGCCCTTCCACCCACCCTTTACCGGGCTCCTGCCAACAGACATCACCTTCGGTAGTCTCATCTTCTCAGGCACCCACTCGCTCTTTGCGAGTTATCTTTGTTCTCCACAGTGGCCACGTTGAGGAAGGAGGTACCCCCTCAGTGTTGTGGGGATCTGAGGAAATGGCAGGTTAAGAGAAAAGTTCAGGGCCCAGTCTGGCTAACCTGCCGCCTCAGTCTCTTCAACCTTCCTGCCTTTCCCCTGCTGGTTCTGACCTCCGGACTTGCGGACTTGCGTCCAGACTCATTGCAGAGGGAATCCTGGCTGCCCCTCAAAACTCCCTGCTATCCTGAGTTTTTGTTTCAGTTCATCTCTTTTCCGGGGATGTGGAAAATTCACTTTTGTTCTTTTTCTGGTTTTGCCTCATTTGTGTGTGTGTTTTTAAAAGCGCATCCCTCAAGCCCAGTCTCTGCCAGACCCTCTGCCATCTCCCCAAATTCTCTGTGCAAGAGCAAGAAGTGATTTGTCTGTTTACAGCAGGTTTAATTAAGACAGTTATGTGCCGTGAACTCTTTAGGCGCCAATCAATGCGCTTTGATTTAGAAAGTCAAATAGAATCACATCCTACACTTGCGGCGCCGCTGGCCGCCCAGGCTCTCAAAAACCTTGGCTGTCGTCCTGCGCCACTTCCCTGGACCTGGGCGGATTCCCTGTAGACAAGTTGCTCTTTGACTTCCAAGGAACCTCAAGTCAGGATTTCAGGCCAGATCGATGCCTTCCGGAAGGGTTAGGCGTGTGAAGGGCTGGATGCTCAGAGCGCTCCTGGTGGCTGTTGGCTAAGGACCTGGTACCGGACTTCCGGGGGGCCAGATGCGACTTTTTCAAATGTTGGATAGCTCTGCATCCCAAGGCCTTCGACCCGCCGCTTCTGCCCCCCTCACCGGGTGCAGGCCTCTCTACAATCCTTAAGATATGCCTTCCCTCCTTTCAATTCTTAGGTCCTCCACTCCAGCCCTGGAAGGCTTTCTAGTGTGTCCCCAGAAACTGGAATGCAACATTTTAGGGAGGCGGCCATGCAGGCACGTTCTCTGTCTTTCCTTTTCCACCCTGAAGTCTTCTGTTCTCAAAAGGAAAGGTGAGGGCCAGGTGAAGAACTGGGCTAACTCTCCTCCCCTGCAGAGTTGTACCCAAGAGCCTGGTGTGCAGTTGGATAGATATCAGTGTAAGCGGTGAACCTCCTCTGCTGTTCCTCTCCCACCTACTCCAGCCTCCTGACCAACAACCTACTCCTTGTCACCTTGAAATTCCAGAACCATCCTTCACAAAATCACAGCTCGGCCACCAGCTTCGGGGTATCCTCAGGGGCAAGAGATGCCTGATTGCCAGCACTTTTTAAGTCTAGGAAGAGTATTTACCACCCTCTCCCCTAGCCCTGCTCCTGGAGGAACCCGAAACATTGGGATTGTTTCCGCAGCGCGGTTCATGGAAGAGAGAATCTGGGAAGGTTTGACCAAAAGCTGCAGGGAATTGCCCCTTTGACTGTTGCTGAAACCCGGGCAGGGTCCATTTTGGCAGGCTGAAGGCGTATCCCCTCCAGGGGTACGCCAAGGCCTCTTCAAACCATGTTAGTTATTGGGACAAAAAAGGCAAAAAAAAAAAAAGGGCTGGGGTTTTTGTCTTACCCACCCCCGACTTTATTCTATTTCTGTTTAAAACCAACCCTGGAACTAGAAAGCTGTTGCTACCAGAGTGGCCAATGAGTCTCCTTCCTGCTTGTCTTACAAGCACAGTAGGGTTAGC